TTTATTAGTGCATGTGTGTAGTACACAGTGTTCACATTCCTTGTGGGAAGTTAGTACACGTACGTGACACATCCCAATTCCTTTTATTTGTATCCCTTATCCCTTATCCCTTATCTTTCCCGTCCCTTCCTCCCCCAACTATCTTTCAAAATTAACTGTGAAATAAAGTATTGTCATGCTAATAAGCACCTAAAAGAGATTCATGACCACAGAACCAGTACTCCAAAACTTCCCAAGGAGGCCCAGCCACCTTTCCAGGGAGACTGTGTGTGTGATTGTTGATGTTACTTGTAATCTAACAAAATCGCAGTCGTGATTATATAGTAACTCCATAAACATACACTGATTTGGGATTTTAAAAGACTTCTAAGGTCATTTTACCTACTAGTAGAAATAATCAATTTATGTCATAATTCCAGATAAACTAATTTCCCACTTTAAATTTTAAATCAATGCTTTTCAATTATCTGGAATGTTTTTTTCTTTAAACTTTCTTCCATTTTCTTTCCTCGGATATATAATTTTTCTTCACATATTAGTAGTTTTTCTTACTGAAAGAAAACTATCTCTTACGTCTCAAAAACTTTTGTTTCAGGGATTAATAGATCTATTTCTATGAAGCACTGAAATGTAAGCGCCTTTCATTGTTGGTTTTTGTCATTAGATTTATGTTCTCAACATTGACCAGCTGGATGGCAGGGCTTGTTTCCTCAGAGGTACTGACCCTGGGGCCAGAAATCTCCGCTGATCCTCTCTGGTTCCACTGGTAAACCGGCCGATTGCCCCTGTGGAGTTGCCAGGATAAATAGGCCGTGCTCTAAATGCAGGCTCTTTGTCCCTGCAGGGACCCCTGCTCCAAGCCACACCTTCCCAGACCTGCAGAGGAGTGCAGACTCTCTCCGTGTACCACTCGGGTGCTCTGTGGGCCTTTTTCTTTGCCGGTCTCCAAATGTACAGCAAGACAGAAGGAGCCTGGCGGACGTCCTGCCTCCTCACATCGACAAAGTGTCCTCTTCTCCCCTTCCTCCCTGAAATGCGACTTTTATATTATTTTCTTCAGATTTTAAGTTTTTGTTACTTATATCATCTGAGATTTGTCATCGGAAACACAAAAAATACTAAACAAGAAAGGACCATCCAAGAAGCTGGGATCATTCACCACCTCAGGTATTCTTAAAATTGTTACCTGTGAGTCACAATGCCTTTACAGCATGCGTCACCATTTCTTCAGGTAGAAATGTCAGCGTCTTTGTTAACTTTGTTGAGGAAAGGAAATTTAGATGAGTACACAGATATGAGCCTACGAATCAACTGCACACAAAAATTTTACTGTAAATTAAACATGCCCCTAAGCTTGATCCATGCCCAATAAGGAAAAATCCAGCGTTTGGGTTATGCAGCTTTGCAAAGGGTTGAATTGCAATCACTTTTCCAAATCCCAGTGCAATGGCTTTGACAAGGTGGGATCATAACATGTAGATTGGGCTACACTAACCCCTTATTTTAAAAAGCACTCTGGCAAACAGTGATACCAGACACTGACAGGATTTTATTCCCATTTCTGAGCTTTATTGGTACAAAAGTTCTGCTGAAGTCAGAGAAAGAAGTACAATTTTGGAACCACTTTCCTTTGTGGAAACCACTTTCCACATTATATTAAAATCTGAACTTTGACTCATTTTTTCAGATGATTATTTGTTGTAGCTAGATATTATAAGCTTCACCAAATCTTTTGCCATGTTTAATTTTGCCCTTCATAGTGTTTCCTGGGCTGACTTCAGTGCCTGGACCATGACAGGTTTTTAAAACACTGTAGTAAGAACACAAGGTGAGATTTAACTACTTAATAAAATTTTAAGTGCACGATTCAATGTTATAAGTACAGGCCAGTCTCCAGAATGATTCCTGCATAACTGACACTTTGTGGTGTGGGGCCACAGTTATATAAAGGAATATTGGCTGTGGTCAGGACTCACAGGTCAGGCAGAGAACACTGCTTTTGACTTCAAAAAAAACTTGTTTCTCTTCTGCGTTTAGAGATTCTGTTCACTTCTTCAGACCACAGTGCTAAGCTATGCATCTAACCAGCTGCAGACAAAACCCAGTCCTCCAGAAACCCGCAGACTTTCTTGTGAATACAGAGCAAGGTGCGGCTTAGAACTCCGCTCCACTCCTCCTCCACGAGGAGGCAGCAACTTTGAAAAGTGGGGAGCAAGCAGCAGGTAGGGGATGTCCAGAGGTGGAAATACTGTTCTTAAGTTTGCGTGCCAGGATCTTTCCCTGAGCAAATAATATGATTTGATGTCATACGAAAAACAAAACGGGAATAAGTCAGAATTTTACTTTTGAGGATTTTGTTTAAATCAAAATTGAAAATATATTCATCTGAAAAACAACAGAAAATGCAACTATGAAACGGAATAAAAATACTGTAGTCAGCTTTTATTCACACCGTGTATATTGGTTCCCTCGCCTAATAAGAATAAAGGTTTCTGAAATGTTCCTCTCTCTTCATCATTCAACCTTACTCAGTGTTTCTGTCTTTGTGTATTACTATTCCTTTCCATACGCTTGTCATTCCTGCACTTGGTTTATCAACTTTAAAATTATTTTACTGCCACAAACAACTGCACAGTAACGATGCAGCTCACCTTCCTTCGTTCTCCTCACATTGTCCCCTGATGCAGACCCACTCCCCATCCCGTCCCCTTGCGCTCTCTCGCCTTTGCCTCTTCTTCCAGTTCATCGTTTCTCTGCTTCCTCACACTTTTACCTCCGGATGTTTTCTCAATGTGAAGGTCACTTTCTAGGGGTCATTTGTTTGTAAATCAAGTTTAAACGCTGTATCATGATTTAGCTCTGCCTTATGGCAACAATTTTTGTGTTTGTTTATTTATTCCCCTAAGAAGTGGGCTCCTTATTTTTCACTTCCTCTTTCCTGGGGTGCTGTTGGAAGAAAATTCTACTTCCATTCATTAGTTCTATATTAATTTGCTCTTCTGGTTCTTAGCAGGTGGCTCCCATGGGGACGCCAGCATTGAGAGTATAGCTCCTCAGGCTCTCTGCTTTGGACCCTGCCTTTCTGCACCCTCGCCCCTTAAGTCCGCCCCACCCCCAACCCCGGCCAGGCCTGGCCCTGAGCCTCCTCTGTGCCCACCGCTGCCCTGCGAGCTCCAGCAGCGGCTCCCAGCCCTGCTCCACTCCATCCTCCCCGCTCCCCTCTGCTTCCTTCTCCCTCCTACCCAGGTTACACTCCGCAACCACTGTTCCGAAGATGGTGCTCCCTGATGCCTGGTGGTGTTGAGCCCTGTCGGTGACCTTGAATCCCTTTCTCCCCAGCACTGTTTTCTGCAGCAATTCTGACACGTCTCCCTTCCACTCTCTGCCTCACAGGGACTCTATGGCTGGTGAGTTTTCCGTGTGTGCAGATGTTACTGTGATGGTCACAGTCTTTCTCTCATTGTTCATTGTCCTGAATGATTCCGATCCATTTTAAGAGGAAGATTAGAGTGAGATCAGGAGTCTAGCTATAGATGGACACCAGCATCTAAAATGTCCTTATTTAGGTTTGAAAAGATTTACTCTGTCTACTTCTGTGACTAATTCTGTGAATAGTGTAAGTGTGCAAGGAGTTGTTAGTGAGAAGACTGTCGCAGAGAGAGTTCCAGAAGGACTGATGCCAGGCAGGACACAGCAGGTGAGGAGGGGAAAAGGAGGTGCACACGCACGTATGCACACATAACCGCACATGCGTATATGTACAAAACCTTTAAAGATTTGTCTTAATTGTACTACTTTGGCAGCTGATGATTACTTAGCTCTCGCATCTGTAATTCTGCTTCCACTGTAACTGTTCCTATCCTCAGCTCTCTCCATTAGCAGCACTAGTAAGGAACAACACAGGTTACAAACAAAGTCATTTTAAGACTCACTTTATTGCATTTTCTTCTTGAATGATCCTAGCTTAAATAAAGACATGATTTCTTGATCAAAAGGGGGCTTGTGCAATTTTGTTTCTACAATGCTTTAAGAAAAAAGTCTTAATTCCTACAGTTCCTGACTTGAGAGAAATCTAAAGGTACTGGGAGAAATAAGACAGCATCCCATGGTGATCTATTTGTTTATCATCTATCCATGTATCTATCTGTTGCCAAGAACATTAAAGGCTAGAATTACTCATTCATATTTTAATGCTAAATCAAATATGAAATCATTTGATCTCACATTTGATCTTCTCAACTACTGAAGACACACACAACTGAAACAATTGGCTTCGCAACTTCTTGCATGAGTTAGTGGGCAAGGCAGGCTTCACTCTGAGCTTTACCTTTCACATCTTCATATGGGAACTGACATTTTCTCTGTGGATAATTACATGGACTGCATGTTGTACTCCTGAAGCCAAATAGCTAACTATGGCTAACTATGTTTGCTTTTTCTTACTTTTCTGTTTTTCTTACAGTTCTTGTTAATTTTTATTTGGTATCTCATATAACTTTACGGAGATAGATATGTAGTAATATATCTACACCCTTCATTTTGCATGTTCTGCATTATGTTTTGATACAGTATTTAACATTATCATTTTGACAGAAGTTTTTGAGTATTGGCCAAGACTTACATAGCTATAGAATAAAACATTTACATAAAAAATCACTGGGTTATTTGCTTTTCTGCAAATAGATCATTTTAACATGCAAATATATCAATGTAAAAATGGCAAAGTATAAAAATAGACAAAATGAATGAGTGAATGCAAACAAAATAAATTTTAGAGTATTTAAACTATTATTCTGTTGCTTGTATGAGATCTTATATTAGGGAACTGGAAAAAGATATCGGTTCCTGCCAATGGGTACACATCAAGCAAGGTGCTGGTCTTTATAACATGGCCAGGAGGGAAAATAATCAGACAGGAAAATACTGGAGGTACTAATGTGGACCTCACTACCTTCTTTCCCCAGAACATTGAGCTGTTTTGAAGCCAAAGCTCCAGGAAAATGGAGGAAAGGAACAGCAGCTCAGAGAAAGGCTTTCTCCTCCTGGGATTTTCCGATCAGCCCCGGCTTGAAAGGGTCCTCTTTGTTATCATTTTGCACTTCTACCTCCTGAACCTTCTGGGGAACACAGCCATCATACTGGTGTCTTGCCTGGACCCCAAGCTCCACACTCCGATGTACTTCTTCCTCAGCAACCTCTCCTGCGTGGACATCTGCTTCACCACCAGCGTCGCCCCACAGCTGCTGGTCACCATGAGCAAGCAGGACAAAACCATGAGCTATGGCGGCTGTGTGGCCCAGCTGTACGTGGCCATGGGCTTGGGCTCAGCTGAGTGTATCCTCCTGGCAGTCATGGCGTATGACCGCTATGCCGCTGTCTGCCGGCCGCTGCGCTACACGGCCATCATGCACCCGCGGCTGTGTGTGTCCCTGGCCAGCACGGCGTGGCTCAGTGGCCTGCTCACCTCCCTCATCCAGTGCTCCCTCACGCTGCAACTGCCCCTCTGTGGTCACCGCAAGCTGGACCACATTTTCTGTGAGGTACCAGTGCTCATCAAGCTGGCCTGCGGGGACACCACGTTCAATGAGGCACAACTCTTCGTGGCCAGCGTGGTCTTCCTAATTGTACCTGTGTCGCTCATCTTAGTTTCCTACGGCTTTATAACCCAGGCCGTGCTGAGGATCAGATCAGCTGCAGGGCGCAGAAAAGCTTTTGGGACATGCTCCTCTCACCTCCTGGTTGTCATTATTTTCTACGGGACTATCATTTTCATGTATCTTCAACCAGCCAAAAGCAGTTCTAAAAACCAGGGGAAGTTTGTATCTCTGTTTTACACCATAGTCACTCCGCTTTTAAACCCCATTATCTACACTCTGAGAAACAAAGACGTCAAAGGGGCTCTGAAGGCAATGCTTGTGGGAAATGCTTTGAGGAAGAAAGATCCCGAGCTGTAGTAGTCCTCACGGTACACGGCCGTTACCAGCCCAAGAGTTCTTTGTTTTGAGATTGTTTCTCTTGTACAATGCCGCAAGAATTACTAAAATAACTGGAATTGGGCAACCCATTCGGGACCCCTCCCATCTCTCAGGAGTTATTCCTATTCCCCATGCCTCATTCCTATTTTCCAGCAAATTTTCCTACTCTTTAAAAAACAATAAAATAACTGGAACTATACAAAGCTAAACTACCAAAGGCATAATGATGTTTCGTCCTTCTCAATCTCCTCACAAATCAGGATTCTATGCTCTATCTACAGAAAACCCTTTGCTGTTTCTCAAACCTCGTGGTTTGGTACATCTTATGAATTCTGTTTATTCCTAAAGTCTCAGTTAAATGTTACCTGCATTCTCTGGCCTTCTGGAAACACCATCTTTTTCACACTGTACAAAATTGTTTCACGATGTACTTCCCATAGCACGTGATACATACTGATATTTTTACTTTTTCACATGCATTATACATTCATGTTTTTCTAGATAAAGCACCATGTGTGTGTGTTTTATATGTGTGTATGAATACACCGTGAAGTGACCTGACAATTTCCCCAGCACTGTATCACTGTGAACTAGAGAATAATGTGTCCCATTGTTCAAGAAGGAACTTGTGCGACATTTCACACACAGTCTAATTAGGAGTTGTGATGCATTAGTTTCATAAAATTTTGGAATGCAAGTTATGAGTGTAGTATTTTGTCATAGGAGTTGGATACACAGACTCTCGACAATGCAATTCATGTATTTTTAAGAATAATTCCCTTTTTTGTGGAAGTTGTTAAAAACTGAGTAAAAGAGCAGTGTACAATGTCTATAGACAATTCATAAAATCTACCATAAAGTAAATGCTTCTGTCCTTCAGGTCTGACAGTGATTTCATACCTTCATAAATTAAGGTGATACTTCCAGAATGTGTCAATAAGGAGGAGGAGTAGGAAAAAAAATAGTAGAAAACAATTTTCCCCAGGTGAGAATAAATATATGTCGTAAAATTCACAGTATAATCTGTCACTGCACTGAGTAAATCAGCAGAGAAACATTACAAACTATACACATCATAGCATAAACAAAAATAAAATCTATGCTCTTGATGGAAGAACAAAAACATTTGTGATAAGGTAGATTTGTGTACAATGTTTTATCAGTAACCATAGATTATGCAATTAATAGGTACAATTTAGCTCATAACAAATAATTTCCAAACTTAGCTATCTTTTAACAATATGTATTTATTTCTTATTTATGAACTTTCAGGATGGCTTTGATAGTGCCACTTAAGGAGTAGGTTGTATTTAACTCTGCATTGCCTGCTTAAATTTGACAGGTACCCAGAGCATGCTATTCTATTAGGTAGAGGCAAGAAGATGAGCCATTCATATACATTTGAGGCTCCTGCTCAGTAATGAAAAACGTTACATCAACCACAATTATCTGGCCCAGGTAAGCTCTATGTCCAAGGCCAAAGTCACTGGGCTGTGAGTCAAAGTCAAAGTCACTGTGAGACCAGAGAAAAGCAGGGCTAAGAAAAGGGAGAAATGACAAAGGTTCCAAAGACGGTGTGCACAGAGCACGACTCTCAGCTGTTACAAAGAAGATGAAAGCCACCAGCAGCGGACAGTGCAGACCTGCCAGAAAGGACAATGGAAAGGGCTGGTAGCAACAGCGCAGCACCTTGAACGCTCCATATTGCAGTGGGAGTGAAACTTATGCAAGAAGGTAATTTGTCTGTGTATACTAAAGATGAAGAGAACCCTTTCACAGAGAGAAGTATATATTCTAGTTGATTGATCTTCCAACCATCTTTATATTCTCATTTCACTTTCAAATGTCCCAGCTTGGATGATAATCAGATGTTTATTTTATGTAAAAGCTAGTACTTGGTCTTCTAAATATTTCCAACCAAATGCACATGTACTGTATATTCGTGGAAAGATACACCAAGATAAATGGATGCACCCTGAGACCATACTCTTAAGTGAAATAAATAGGACACAAATGTGTAAACACCACATTGTTTCTCTGGTGTGAAAAACTGAAAGTGTAAATAAGGACCAAAATGTATAGTAAATTTTGGGAAATAAGAAGAAAATGTTCAAATGGGGAGGGGAACAAGAGGGAGGGAAGGAGGAAAGGAAAAAAGGGAAAAGCTAAAAAATGAGAAAAGAAGGAAAAATGGAAACAGAGTTTGTAAGTGGGGAGGGGAAGAGGTTGAAGGGAGAGGAAGCAAATGGGGAAAAAACAAGTCATATCATGTACAGGTAGAAATTCTCTATGATGAATGTGGTCACTATCTATAGCTACATTGTACCAAGAAAATCTGATTGGAAAAAAATTTTA